ATTTAATCATGCACTTTTATTAGTAAAAATGTTCTCTAATTCCTACTTGTTGAATGCTGCATTCTTTTTAAAAAATATATATTTTATTGATTTTTTACAGAAAGGAAGGGAGAGGGATAGAGAGGCTTAAACATCGATCAGCTGCCTCCTGCACACTCCCTACTGGGGATGTGCCCACAACCAAGGTACATGCCCTTGACCGGAATCAAACCCGGGACCCTTGAGTCCACAGGCCGACACTCTATCCCCTGAGCCAAACCGGTTAGGGTTGCTGCATTCTTTTTAGTCTGTAAGTTGATTGATAAATTATTAACCAATTACCCTTTTGTTTTATTGAGTGAGTCCTAACTTCATTTGCTACCTATTTGATTTTACTTGCCACATTTATGCTAATGCCATGCATTACTGTCTCTCTGTACCCTTCTGCCTTTTTATTTGCAGGCAATCCAATTTTCTATTTTTTTTTCTCTAATGCACCGAAGTTCAGCATTCTTACTGTTTTACTACAAGTTCTCTAAATTTTTAGCAAACATACTGCCATGTTTTCTTACCCATTTCAAAAATTATTATCTGTACCTTCTGCTTCCTGAAAAATATCAAGACGTTCAGCACCCTGTTATATACTTTCTACCTCCACTCATCCTCACTCCTCAAACGCTTGAGAATCATCTGTGATACTAGTTTCTGCCTGCTGTTAATTGTTCAATTTCAGGTTATGCCTATTGGAATTTCAAATGGCTGCGCATTACACATCCACATCAACAATTAGTTTCTCTCTCTCTCTTTTAGTTTAATTTTTTAAAAAGGTTACTAAGCAACAGCTTCTCACGATTCTGACCGAGAAGGGAGGAGACGCAGTAAACAGTAGAGATGAGAAAAGGGATATAAACCCAGATGCACAGAAAGGCTAACAATCGCAGGTACTGTGAACTACTTTTAGCGAATACAGCTGGAAATCTACACGATATGGACGGTTACCTCGGAAGCTACATTTTCAACAAAAATGTAATTATCGAAGTTGAAGCAGCAGATAGGAAACCACATGGATGACTTGCCCTGAGAGACATGACTCTGATCCGCTACTGGAGAGTTGACTGTCTTCAAGACAGAGGGTCGCGAGTCCCAGAAATGGTTGCAGACCAAGAAATAAAAATGAAAAAAACGAACAGAAACAGACAAATATTTCCATCCATTTGATGAGACTACTATGACTTGCTTTCAAGACAAAGTGCACGTAGACAAAGAAAACCATAACCCAGTCTCATGGATTTACATAAAAAATTCTACACAAGATATTAGCAAGTTCAACCCAACAGCATAAAAGAGCAACTTAGCACAAACAACTGGGATCTGCTGAAGAATATGAGTGGTTAGAGCTGAGGCGTTCAGTTAATGTGCTTGAGTTGTCTATAAATAAAAATAAATCTGATCATCTTAATGATGTTGAAAAGTTATTAAAATCAGTAATACTTATATTGCTTAGGAACCTGAGAATAAAACAAAACCACCTTAATTTTATGTCACAAACACGCATCAAATAGGAACAGAACAAGGGTGCCTGCTACAACGGCCACGACTCAGGAAGTCGTGAGGTACCGGCCCAGCCGGTGTGGCTCAGTGGCTGAGCGTCCACCGTGCACCAGGAGGTCACAGTTCGATTCTGGGTCAGGGCACATGCCCAGGGTGCAGGCTCAATCCCCAATAGGGGGATGCAGGAGGCAGCCAATCAATGTTTCTCTCTCATCGATACTTTCTTTTTTTTTTTTAATCCTCACCCAGGGATATTTTTCCATTGATTTTTAGAGAGGAGAAGGGAGAGGGAGAGACAAGAGAGAGACACATCAATGTGAGAGAGACATCGATTGGTTGCCTCCTGCACAGCTCTGCGACCAGGGCCAGGGATGGAGCCTGCAACCGAGACATATGCCTTTGATCCAAATCGAGCCTGGGACCCTTCAGTCTCCGGGCCGACACTCTATCCACCTAGCCAAACCAGCTAGGGCTCTCATTGATTTTTTTATCTGTCCCCCCTTCCTCTCTCTTGTTTATATTTTTAAAAATAGAATTGAAGTATCAGTATTGAAAAGGACTTCAGAACTGTAATATAAATAACTAGAGGCCTGGTGCATGAATTTGTGCACGGGTGGGGTCCCTCTGGGTGGCCTGCAGGGATCCGGCCAAAACCCACAGTCCAATGCTGCCATCAGCCCCTACCTGCTGCTCTTGCTCATCCCGGCCCCACTGTGCCTGCCGCGGGCTCACGTCCAATTAGTCCTGATCAGGAGAGGCTCACGCTGCAGCAGCGCTCACCAGCCATGAGTCCTGCGTCTGGCGCCCTCCCAAGGGGAGTGGCCTGCGGGATCCGGCTGAAACCATCTCTCCAACATTCCCCAAGGGGTCCCGGACTGCGGGAGGGCACAGGCCAGGCTGAGGGACCCCACCGGTGCATGGTCAGGCCAGGGAAGGACTGCACGAGGGCTCTAGGGCGTGTCCAGCCCATCTCGCTCAGTCCCAATCGGCTGGACCCCAGCAGCAAGCTAATTTACCGGTTGGAGCATCTGCCCCCTGGTGGTCAGTGCATATCATAGCGACTGGTCGACCGGTCCACTGTCTGCCCCCGGTGGTCAGTGCATGTCATAGCGAGCGGTTGAGCAGCCTTAGCATATCATTAGCGTATTATGCTTTGATTGGTTGAACAGACAACCGGATGACTGGACACTTAAGCATATTAGCTTTTATTATATAGGATGATTGTCCGCCTAGAAAACCCAAGAGAATCAACTGGAAAGACAGTAGAACTCTTGTTCATTAATGTGAATTATAAATATTTTTAAAAGCATTAATGTTCCTATAGGTTAGGTAGAAAATAAAAAGAAAAAAAATCTTTTATAGAAGGTACAAAAACAAACAAAAATCTAGGAATACACTTGGCAATCATTGAGACCGATGTGAAAAAAACTAGGTCTGTACTGCAGGTTGAAGACCCAATAAATGATCCATCACAACCCTAATCATGTAAATTATATTTTTAAAAGCATTAATGTTCCTATAGGCTAGGTAGAAAAAAAAAATCTCCTTTATAGAAGGTACAAAAACAAAAATCTAGGAATACACTTGGCAATCATTGAGACCGATGTGAAAAAAACTAGGTCTGTACTGCAGGTTGAAGACCCAATAAATGATCCATCACAACCCTAATGGGAAGACAGAGGAGAAACGCATCTGTACATGAAAGCTGTCCTCATAAAATCTTGTTTCTTGGTGTGGGGAGCAGGGAGGGGCTTGATTTCCGGATTCAACTGGGAGGAAAGCCCTGGGCCGCGGGCACAGGCAGAGCCAGCGACACCCCCAGCGGCAGCGGCATTGGCCTCGGTCGTCCCCTTAAATCACGGGGGACGTAGAGACCCTGCCCAGGCCTGGCCCCGTCCACGGCTCTCCTTTCATGCGGTCAGGTGGGGCTCGGGTTTTGCTAAATTTTAGTTTTCTTCAATTAGTTTGCATTCAGTGTGATTTTGTGTTAGTTTCGAGTGTACAGCGTGGTGGTGAGACAGTCCTCCACTTCATAACCAGCCCGCCCCAGGCCGGTTATGGGTTTGGCTGCATTTTAATTTTAAAAGCCCCCAAAGGTCGTTCTAAGGCGCTGCCACGGGGGTGTCACTGAGCTCTGAAGACCGGGCAGTGGCTTCGGTCCTGGGAGCTGATAAGCAAGGAGGTGAGAAAGCCTTCACATGGCAGCAGTCAGTTCCTGGGACGGTCACTTCCCGACTAGAGTGAAGCTGACCCCGTGCGCCCACTAAGCAGGACACCTTCCGGGCGGAGGGACCCGGTGACACAGCGAGAGAGAGGCTGTGCCCTCAGCTTGTCCACTGCAGCCGCCCACGGGGACGGCCCGGCCAGCGGTGACGCAGGCCCC